CGAAATTTTACCCGAAAATAAGCTACCCCCGGGATTTTTGTGTCACTTTTTTGGCCAAAAAAGGTAGCTTATTTTCGGCAATATACAGTAAGGCTAAAACAAGGCTAGTACAAAACAGGCTCAACCAAATATATTTTAATAAATTACAAGCTATTAGCGAAAAGAAAGCTAAAAGTAAGAAACTTGGGTATACAAATTCTGCAGCAAGCAAGATCTTTGGGTTTCATAATAGAAGAGAGTAAATTTATGGAAAGGTGGAATATAAACCTCTTTCATATAGTTAATGATTATGAAATTGCAAAAATCTTAGAAAATAGTAGATTGCTATATGAAGAAATGAATATAAGCAGAATTGGATTATTTTTATCATCGTAGCTTTTAACAGAAGACGGTAAAACAATGTATACTTGGAAACAAATGAAGCTGTTAAATAATCTTACTCTAAGAGGAAAAAAGACAAAATAGTTTGACGTGATAGAAGAAATAATGATTGATGATCTGTTAACAAGAAAAGTCAAACCAACATTTAAGCTTGAAACATATAATTTGAATACACCCAAAATAAGTATAGAGAAAGTTGAAGAAGATAGAAGATTTAAAGAATAGATCATGTGTGAGGATAAAGATCATGCACAGATCAGAATTGGAAAAATCATAGATAAAAAAGAGAAGTATGCCGAAATTAAAAATTATGTAGAAACAACTAGGCCACAACTAGGGATGAAGCAAAATTTTTTGCATTATGCTGAAAACCAAGCACCTGTTTCAGTGAAATATAGAAAACTAGAAGACATATCAAACCTAGTACAAAAATCAGAAAGTGGCATACAAATGATCTTTAGTATACATTCTTTAGATAAAGCTATTAAAATAGATATAGAGAAAGAAGTAGTAAATACGAGAGAGATATCAGAAATTAAAAGAAGAAAATTACCAGTTATAGGTTATACAAGGTGGGAAATATGTTTAATAGATAAAATAGTCAAAGATAGAACACTTAGAAGTAGTTTAATAGAGGTTTTAAATCAGAATTTAGCTTTAGATAGTTTGTGTTTTTATACAAATAGCTTACTCGGGATAGCAGAGAGCCTCACAAAAATGGAAATGAGTTGTAGAATAAAACAGATAACAAAAGAAGGCCAAATCCTACGTCAAATAGCTTGTAGCACTGAAAAGTGGTTTTCATCAATGAAGGCAGAGTTGGTAACAATCTTGGTAGCAATACTAGTAATACCTAACGAAAAAGAAGTGAAAATAAGAACTAATAGTAGTGTAGCCATATTTGCAATCAAAAAAAGGCTAGAAGCAGACAAAGCAAGACAATGATTTAAGATTAAAAATAGCAGCCTAATTGCAACGATAGTTGAGGTAGTCAAAATGAAGCAATTAACTCTGCATTTTAAAAAAATTAAAAGTCACTCAGGAGATATTTTTAATGATTTGGCAGATCTTAAAGCCAAAGAAGGTGCAAGTTCCACAAAGTTGCTAACTCTCACAACACTACACACAAAGGAATTCAAATTAAGATACAAATAGGAGAATGAAGTTATAGAAAAACCGATACGCTCTTTTATCAAAATGCTTGGAAAAGTTATAAATAGGGTAGAATGGACATTTCTACACAACAGTTAGAATATCATATATCAAGAAAGAGAAACTCTACAGTATTAGCCAATTTTTTATAAAATCTTGGAGAATGGAACTAAGCAGCATGATCACACCTTCAGATTAAATATATTACAGCTCTTTGAATTAAAGTGTATAAACAATACTTTGCCGGTTTTTAAAAAGCTCAATCGGGAAAAACCTAAAGTATACAAAACTAATAGATGTATTATATGCAAAAAAAAAACAGAAAGCATTGAACACTTAGTAAGTTGTGAAGCATTGATAGAGCTAATTTGAAATGTCGAAGAACAAGAAGTAGAGATGATTTTTAAAGAATTAGAAGAAGTGCAAAACTTGGATGAAAAAAGAGAAGAGATTTTGGTCATGATGGGAAAAGAAAGCCTTGCTAAAGAGTTACAAAGAAGAGAAAGATGGATAAGAGGCCTTATTATGAAAGAGGACTTCAATGAAATATAGCCAATCTTCACGTCAAACGTACAAGCTAGAGACTTCATAGTAAAGCTTTGGAAAAGATAGATGAAAAGAATATATAAGGAGATTTGGATCAAAAGATGCAAATTAGTGCAGATCTGGGAGAAGGAGAACAGTATAATGCGAAAAGAAAAACGAGGATATAGCGCAGATACCAAGAAAAAACAAAAAAAGAAGAAAAAGAAAAAAAGAGCAAATGAAAAGAAAGACCCAACAGATAAAACCCACAGAAGAAAAAGACAGATGAACGATGCTGAAGCAAAATGAGAGTTAATATTAAATATAGTGAAAAATAAAGTTTTGAGTTGGATAAATGGTGAGCAAAGAGCAAATTGGTGGAAAATAAATTAGTAGTCTTGACAGGCCATAAGAACTATCCAATGAAGTATTAATAAACTCATTTGCAGGGTAAATTAATACGAAGGTAAACCTTACTATAGCAGGTCGCACATAGGTATTCGTAGAAAACAACCGGGTGAGCTAATACTTGTAATTTAGGTATCAGAGGGAATAGCCTTCTAAAAAATTTAATATTTCAAAATATAATATTATTAAACCTAATAAAGTAGAGGCAAGACTGCTGAAATTAAAAAAAAAAAAAAAATTCTAATTTTTTTAACCCCCTCCTCTAAAAAATCATCTGATAATTGTTAGCTCTCTAATTAGATTTAGTTAGCAAAGCAAAACTTAAAAGGCTTTTTTAATCTAAAATTTCACAAGGAATTTTTTTTTTCAAGAAAAAAAAGCAGTTCTATAGTTAAAATTTTATCTTAGAAGCAATTTTTAAAAAAACTTTGTTTTGCTTCAATTTTATGTTATACCTAATTTTGTGTCCTGATTGGTTGATTAGAGGTAGCGATACATTGCCATAGTAATGAATAATAACTCTCAAAAAAATTAATATTTTTTAGCTTTTTTAAAAAGTAAAGAATATTTTTTTTTTAATATTAATGGTGAAGCCTTGCTTTTATCTTTATTAGATTAATGAAAGTTTTTTACAAAAACTGAAAAAAATCTTAGTTTAAATTTAATACTAAAAATAAAAACTCAGACATATATCTAAGTAAACCTAAATACTTATCTGTGGCCTAAACCAAGTGTAAAAAATAATTTATATACTATACTGTGTATAAGCTAATAAAATTTCTACTTGATGATAGTTTTTTAACTAAAAAAAATAAATTGTAAAATTTTTTGCAAATTAATATATTTGTAAAATTTTTCTAGTCTAATTAATTTTTAAGATATAATACTAAATATTTAAAAGTTTAGTAGTAACAAGGCTATTTTATATTTTAATAAAGCTTTCATTCTAATATTTAAATATATATACAGTCAACTCTCTCTAAGTGCAGTTCACCGGGACCTATAAAATTTTCTTAAGTAAAAAAAAAATACTGCATTTAGAGAGAACCTGCACTTAGAGAATATAAGTTTATTATAGCTTTATATAGCTTGGAACCAAAAAAAAACCTGCATTTAGAGAGAATTTAATATGACCTGCACTTAGAGAACATGCACTTAGAGAGAGTCGACTGTATACTGTATGTACAGTATATCTACTGTATAAAGTAAAACAATTGGTTAAATCGTCAATATATCAAATTTTGCAAAACATATTAAAACAAATATTTTGGTATATAGTTGTTTTTTAAAAACAGTAAACAAAAATTATTTGCTGTTAAAAAAATAACATCTATTTCAGTATTATTTCAAAAATTGGAGTATATAATTATTATTATTATTATTTTTTTATTGAAAAATCTAAAAGTCCAGTAGGAGTTCGAGATTTCTAACAATAAAACAATATTATGGATTATGTTTTATAGCGTTAATTAAAAATCTTGAATGCTAATTAAATCCATTGTTTGAATACATCGCTTACACATTATAATGATATAAAGTATACTTGATGATGAGAAAATAAGGCTCAATATATATATATATATAAAAAAAAACTTTTTGCAATAATAATTATAAGAAATTGGCTAAGCCGAAAATTAGGTTTAACCGATTTTTTCGTTATTGGCCAGGCTCACTATGGCCACGACCACCACGGTCAAACCTATCAAATCTGTCATTATCAACAAATCTTCCCCCGAAGCCACCACGTGAAGAACCACCAAAACCTCCTCCACCGCGAGGACCATTAGACCCGCCACGAGCTTCGGCTACTCTTAGTTCCCTACCTTCAAATTGGAAACCGTTGAGTTCTTCCATAGCTCTTGCAGCTTCTTCTTCTTGAGAAAATTCAATAAAACCATAACCGCGACTCCTGCCTTCGTAATCCCTTGGCAGACGAACAGATTCAACTTTACCATATCTTGAGCCTAGTTCTTCAAGTCCTTGTTCGTTAGAGGTGTAAGGAACATTAGAAAGATATATCGTTTTGCAGGCATACCCTCGTTGTGAAATGTTAGAGAGAGCTAAAAGGCTAGTACGAGTAGGAAAGACTGCTAAGGAAGATTTAAATATTGCTCCAGTAATTGTTTTAAACATTTTTTTTGTAAATAATTTGTTATAAGAATTTATAAAGTTCGTTGTGGTTCGCGTACGAAGACTTAACGTAATCTTTTTTTTAAAAAAATTGATTTGTTTAAGTATTTGATAAAAAAAATAGATTTATTAGATAACGAATTTTAATTGGTTGATGATGTTTATCCTATCAACTATCGTTATTAATATATATTGCATCACGTGACAAAGTTTTTTAGACGCGAGACTTTAATTCCTCCAAATAAATATTTACTATGATTAGTAAAATGTCTTTAATTTGTCGTATAAGCAACTAACCAGTTGATAGCCGGTTAGCCAATATTACTTTTCGCTATTGAGGGCATTGTATCTTTAGCGGAAAAGTTAGTTAAAATTTCGATAACATTGCTCAGATTCGAGTTGTTGGAATTATAATATATACTGTGGTAGTGTGTGTGGATCCAATCAAATTATTTTTTTTTGAAATAGAGCAATTTGATTAGATCCGCGCACGTGAAAAATAAACACTCTACTATTACATTATCAGAATTCAATGGGAAAGTATTTAATATTATAAAAATAATAACGATCATAACGATAAAATAACTGCCTTTACATTCATAGATTTTTAAATTACTAAGAATGCTACACCTTTTTTTAGTTTCAATCGTTTTGCGAAAGAATTTCTCTGGTCGTGGTTTCAGAACTAAGTAATTCATTTATTAACGACGAAGGATGGAGAACCATGTCATATGACTGATAAGGTATCGATTTTTATTAAGGGTTTTAACTTTTCTAAAAATTCTAAAAATTTCTAAGGAAATTCTGTCGAAAAATATATTATGATTCAAAGTTTTATTTGAATGTAAAAAGCTTTCACTTTGTGTACATATTCGGCATAACTATTAAATCTAACATATCACTTTTATTCAAAATATCCTGTCTATCCGTTAAATCAATTAAATTATAGCTTTGGTTTAACAAATTCGATTTGATTTTTGAGTTTGAAACTATTGAAACTATTGACACTATTGATCAAAAAATGGGACATATATTTGGGTTTTTATTATCATCCTAAATGAAGTAGAAAGCCGATTCCCAAACCAAACTATATATTTAATATCATAATTCAGAAAAGGAGGTTTAGGTCGCAACTTTATTCATCAGGAACTAACAAATAATAATAATACGATATAAATTTGGAGTGTAAAAAAAATAATTATAAGTAAATATCAGAGGATGGAACAACATACCTTCTACTTCACCAGCTGCAATCGAGTCACTTAAGTCCTTCGGAGATTGGCTATTGACGCATAAATTAAATTCATTTTAATAAAATTTATAAGTATCAGGTCAAGAATAAATACTAACCCGTCAACTGTGCACCCAACGCTAAAGCATGTGCCCAAGATTTCCCTCACTGTCCCCTTAAGTGATTTGGCAAAGGACTTGAAACGCATTTGGCGAGCAATTTCGATTACCTCGTCGAGTGTGATATTACCAGAATGTTTGATGTTTTTTTCCTTTTTACGGTCTCTTGGTGGTTCTTTTAAAGCTCTAATGACCAAGGAAGAAGCACTTGGTACAACTGAAACAGCTGCTTGACGGTTTTGAATTGTTAATTTTACCGTCACACGTAGACCCTTCCAATCTGCTGTAGCCTTAGCTATATCTTCACCGACTTTTTTAGGAGCCTTTTATTAATAAAAATTTAGTCAGCACATTTTCATAAAGGACATTGAATATTAAATGGTTATAAAATTAAAATTACATACCAAACCAAGCGGACCAATTTTTGGAGCTAAAGCACTGGAAGCGCCAACTTCACCACCGGTGGCTCTAAGATAGACTTTGGAAATGAAATTATTTTATGTATTGCATTTAATTAAACGATTGAAGCTTTTTTCTGAAATCGATACGCAACTAATCTTAATTTCATTTGGATCGATCTTGGGCGGCATGTTGGGTATGTTCTACTTCAATGAGAAGAGGGAGGAGGTCAATTTTTTTTTCAAGACTTTTTTTTTATGTATTGAAGTTCGTTTTGATTGGCTGATAAACCAGAACATTGTGTTGATTGGCTAATGCAAAAGATTAACTTCACGTTACTTTCCGATTGGTGCTATTAATCGAACAAGTTCCCTTAGATCAACCCGATCAGTACATGATCCCAGACTTTAAATTTATAACTTACCGTTACCGTTACTGGATTCAATTATTCAATGTGCCTCTCACGTGAAAAAATGACGTTCAATGATAAAATGCATCGGCATTTTTTCTTCGACAAAAGGTTAAAAGGTTGAACCATAGGTTGCAAAATTTTTTTGGATTAAAAGAATATAAATTATCGCAGTTTTCAAAATGGTCGAAAATTGCAAGTAAAGTTTTTTTTAACAAACACTCGAACACTCGATTACCTTAGCACGTTGATTGAAGATCGATCCCGATTTTGCAATTGTTTGGTCTTCAATCAACGTGCTAAGGTAATCGAGTGTTCGAGTGTTTGTCAAAAAAAACTTTATTTGGGTCAGTCTCTACCGTTATGAGTATTCGGGCAAAATTCCTTAAATTGAAATATCGATGTTTAATCAATTTCAATAATTAAGATAAAAATAGAATTTTGCATATTCAGGGATAATCGGCGATTCGCTATTTCATTAAGTTAACCAGCATTAA